GCCAGTTCTCCCCTCCCCATCTCCCCCAGCCAGCCCCGCTCCCCCCAACCAGCCCCACTTTTCTCCTGGCCGCCCCTCCCCCACCCCGCTCTGAGATCAAGTGCATCCGGTGTTTTTTTGAAAGCATCTGGTAACCCTAGGCCCAGTCCACCTCTCTGTTTCCAAAGGGCTCTAGCTTATGACTAAGCGGGCCGGCGCCCAGCTGCCCAGAGCAGTGGGGGATCGGAACAGGGGGATGGCTGCTTATTCCCCCTGTGCTTGTTCTCTGGCCGCCCCTCCCCCACCCCGCTCTGAGATCAAGTGCATCCGGTGTTTTTTTGAAAGCATCTGGTAACCCTAGGCCCAGTCCACCTCTCTGTTTCCAAAGGGCTCTAGCTTATGACTAAGCGGGCCGGCGCCCAGCTGCCCAGAGCAGTGGGGGATCGGAACAGGGGGATGGCTGCTTATTCCCCCTGTGCTTGTTCTTGGACACCCCTCTGTCCTACTGTGGTAGGGAGGAGGCAGGAGCGGGGCCGCTGGCTGCGTCACAGGACCACCGCGGGGCATAGGGAGGGACAGGGGGCCGGTCAGCGCAGGCCCGACGCCAAGCAAAAGGCGCCCGTATGGTGCTGGATCAGCCCCTTGGCCCTTCCCTTCACCCACCTTTCCTTTGGCAGGTTGGCATCAGCAATGTCACCTACGCCCACATGCGCCTGGAGGAGGATAATGAGGACCGGCTCAGCATGCCCTTAGTCATCACCATCGTGTGCATGGCCTGCACCCTGCTGCTCATCGCGGCCATCTACGGCTGCTGCCACCAGCGGATCGCCCATAGGAAGGATCAGGTAAGCAGCGCCCATCCTCCACGCACCCGTCCGGGCCTCTCGTTACATGCCCCCCCACCCTCTACGTTTTGGTTAAAGGCTTGGGGGGGAGCAGCATGGCAGGGGAACGGCCATGTACCACTGCCACAACCAGAGGGGTGGTCCTCAGATCAGACACTGCCAGCTGTCCCGAATTCCTTGGGGTTGTGCGGGGGGTGGAAGATCAGCCCTGTGAGTGTGGCTGGGGGAGAATATGGAGCAGTCCCCTCCCCTTCTATCAGACAGGCAAGAGCTGGTGAGAATTGTTCCCCCCTCCCGCCCCCCGGAAACCTAGTTTCCATCAAACCGCTTTTCGCTGAGCACAGAAGATGCGTTTGGAGAGTCACTCTATTGGCAGCGAAACACCAGCTGCCTGAGAGAAAAGCAAAAATGCACTTTTTTGGATAAAAATGTGGTTATCAAAATCAGGTTTTTTTATATATTTTGAATTGGGGAGGGTTCCTCCCCTCCCCTGAAAAAAAATTTCTCCTGGCATTTTTTTTTTTGAAGGGGAACTCCCTCCCCCACCACTTACTTTTTTGAAAGAAAGCTATGCGGAGTTTTAAAGTTTCCTGTGAAAAACAATTGGCATTTTTCAACCAGCTGGAACACAGACATCCCTCTCTCCCCCCCCTCCCGTGAAATCAAGTTACGGAACAATCTGTCCTTGCACCCACCATTTCTTAACCTTTCCTGTGCCAGACTTAATCCTCCTCTCTGGCCGAGAGAGGATACGGAGAAGGTGGGATGACATTTCCCTCACACCCAACATTTCTAAGGTGCCAGCAAGTTTTGTCCTCAGGTCTGCCCCCAAACTTGGAGAACGAGCACAGGGCTGGCCATTACGCACTTAGCCCAAAGGGCTGTGTTTTCAAAAGGACCGGCAGCTTGGCTGCCTGCCCTGAGCCGGCATTCAAATCATCTGGCATCTCAGAACATAGCGATGGGTCAAAGCCAGGCACGGAACTCCTGCAATAAAGCCCTTCGGGGCCCCAGGGACGCTGACAGGTCAGGCTACTGTGAGCAGAGCTGTAGAGTTTGCAAGGGGCTAAGTTGGCAGGGTAGCGTACACACGTCTTGTGCAGGTCCCTTTGACTTTCCCCAGGATTAGCAGGCTAAAGGCTCCCTTCGGATCTGAATATCGGCCTAAGATCTGCACTGATTTACTCCTGCTAGCCCCTGGCTAGCTCTGCTGGGCTGCATGGAGTGCAGAGGGGATTTGCACAGAGAGCTGATATCCACAGGAGGGCGCAGGTGCTACACACTTCAGAGCAAAGAGCTGGGAGGTTTTGCGGCGGCAGCAATCGAACCCGTTAGTTTAGCACTGCTAGGGAAATCCCTTTGTGCTGCCTGTGCAGAGGCAGGGCTAGATAAAGGCAACAGGTAGCGTCAGTCTAAAGAGCAAAAAGACCCCCAAGCTCACTGATCCTGAAGCTTAGACACAGCTCCAGCTGCTACTCATAGAAGGTTGGAGGCGAAGGTGGAGGAATTTGACAATGTCATATGCCAGAAGCCTGCAACAGGTCAAAGCCACAGGAGGCCTTCATGAGTTAAACCCCACAATGCCCTCAGGCTGTCAGAATTAGAATCCTGTGTACAGCTGGCTTTGGAATGTCTATAGCAGGTGATCTCTCAGGGCTGGGCCATCCTGAAAAGTGAGGTGCAAAAAAATCCACAGGGTTGAGTGCCATAGGTTGACAGAAGAATTCTTCCATCAACCTAACTACCCCCTCGGGAGAGGGGACGATTTACAATGGGGAGGGGCCTTCCCATCACTGTAGTGAGGATGTACACTGATGTGCTACAAAGGTTGCGTTGCCGTGTTGGGAGTGTAGACGTAGCCTCAGTTTCAAAACCAATTTGAAGCATACCGCAAGGTGGACACAAGCAGGCTTGCATTGACCTAATTGTGTAGCGTAGACCAGGCCTTAGCGACCCCTGGACTGATGAATGGTGCGAGCTGAAGAGTCCTGGAGATCACGGAACAGCTGTAATACCAACTTCCTACACACAGCACCGCCCCACTTCTGTGATCAGGCATGAAAAGACAGGTTGGTCTCAGGTCTATTTTACTTTTAGTCACTCAGGGCTGTTAAAGGGACACCGTCAACTTGAAATTAACTTTTTTTTTTTTTTTTTTTAAGGGCTGATTTGACAGTTATTTGTGTTGATATACTAGCTAGGGCCATGGTGTGCTAGGTGGACAGAGCTAGAGTTTAAATTTTTCTCTCACCCTTCTTGCTCTCTGAGGGGGGGGGGGGGGGGGGGGGGGGGGGGGGGGGAGGGGAGGAGAAGAGGAGCAGGGAGTGACACTTGCCCCATTATAAGTTCCCAATGTTCAGTGTTGGCTATTGTCAAAGGTTTAAATACATTTCCAGGCAGAAACGTTACATGTAGGTTCCAGGTAGGGATGTGAAAGGTTAACCGGTTGAGATCATGCGTAACAGGTGATGCTTACCAGGTCTTGTTAACCAATGGGGGGGAAGGAGCAGCTTCCCCTCTACCCTCTATCTGCAGTAGGCCCAGGCATGAGGCAGGCAGGGGCCACTCCAGTACCACCCAGCCAGTGATGTTTAACGGGTAAATGAACAGAATTTTACATCTCTAGTTCCTGGTATCTTCTTTCACTGCTGCATAGATACCCAGCCGCTGGGAATTCAACCACAGTTCAGCACACTCATATCTAAAGCGCCCTCTAAATCATTTCCATCTATGTGCGGAATAAATATTCCCTGTACACTGAGGCATGTACAATGTGCACCACCAAATGAAACACAGAACCTCCCTGTGGGTGCTTTGCTAGTGGGCTGGGGAAGGAGGGGTAATTTGAATTTCTCCTGAGCAACTGCGGGATCAGGTTGCTGAAGGGTCAGGTTGCTCTCGCTCTCTCACAGCCACAGACACATGCTCCCACCAGGGACAAAAGCAAAGGTTTTAGAACACCCTGACTTAGAAATCCTCCCTGGGGAGGATGTTTTCAACACAGCACAACTACACCAGTGTGAGCAACAGCTCTGGCTGCTGCAGCTGCCCCTCCTCTTCCAAACCACTGCCCGTAAGCTCAGGGCGCAGCCTGCCTCCGGGGCTTTCCATCAGCGCAGCTACCTCAGAGCAAAACCTTTGCGTGCTGCTCAGCCTCTTCCTCTCCCGTCACCACAGGTGTCTTCCGGGGGCAGATGAGGCCAGAACTTCTAAAGCAAGAGACAAGTGCATGATCCTTCCCCTGCAAACACATTTGAGGCCTTCTCTGTACAACAGCAGCACACAAATGGGCACAGGCCCACATGGCCGCCCCGTCCCATCGGCAGGTCCTTGTTAGCCCAGAGCCAGTTGTCACCCCAGCCCCAAATTTCCTTCCAAGCTTACTTAATAGATCATAAATATTCAAAGGGGAGAGGAAAGCTGCAGTCACCCACCCAACAGGAAGCGGCAGCAGCCTGCCTGGAGATGGAGGCCCTCCCTCCTCAGCCTGCGTGTCAAGCCCTGAGGAAACGGACCAGACCCCACACTAGATTGGAGATTAACAGTAGGGTGAAGGGGAAGCTGTGTTTGGACCGGAACAGACCAGGGCCCCGCTTTGGAGCCCTGGAGGCTGCTCAGATGCAGGGTGGAGTTTCAAACAGACGTGGGCTGAGGGGAGCAGATGGGAGAAGGTAGTGGTGGCAATTCTCTGCCCGTGGCTTATCTCTATCCCTCCTGACCTCTGGCCACAGGGCACAGTCCTGTAGGCACCAGAGGGCTGGGGTATTGCAGTGTGATGCTGGTTGTTGGGCTTGGTGTGGAGGCCTGGGCTATACAGATCAGATAGGCTGAGGCTCCCTTCTGGCCTTAAAACTCGAGTGATTCTCAACCTTCGGGGGCTCAGGACCCATTTGCAAATATTTAGGGCCTGCCATGGCCAGTAATAACCTGAGGGTAGTTTTGCACCTGCTGTGCACCCCCAGTGGGGTTGTGTCCTGCCTAACCCTCACCTCACGGGGGGGATGCGGGGGGGCTGGCTGGATTTGGCTCGGGCTCTCTGCCCCCCTTGGGTTTGGCCCTGCCCCTCCGACTGGCCCAAATGCGTGTGGACAGAGTTTCAATCCAGCTCATGGGGCTGCAGCGCCGCTCGCTCACACTTGGCCCACTCACACTGCCATCATCATGGGGACTGGGTAAGAACACTAGCACGGCCATATTGGGTCAGACCAAAGGTCCATCCAGCCCAGAGAGAGCAAACAGATCTGGTAGCCATCACGTGATCCCTCTCCTGTCCCTCATTCCCAGCCTCTGACAAACACAGGCTAGGGACACCATTTCTACCTAACCTGGCTCAGCCATTGGCGGACCTAACTTCCATGAATGTATCTAGATCCTTTCTGAATCCTGTTAAAGCCCTGGTCTTCACAACATCCTCTGGCAAGGAGTTCCACAGGTTGCCTGTGCGCTGCATGAAGAAAAACTTCCTTTTGTTTGTTGCGCCCCAGCTAGTCGAGCTGCCTGGTTACGAGACAGCTGTGCAGTGTGGCTAGATGCTCTGAGGATAAGGTTGACTGCTGGGAAATGGTGCATATTTATCCACAGATCCACCACGCTCTAGGGCAGGGTTCTCAAACGACAGGTCATGACCCAGGGCTGGGTGGTGGCAAGTCAGGCACTGGGGCTCCTTGTGCAGGGGGATCAGATGAGCAGTGGGGGTGCTAAGACTGCGCTGCGCCCCAGAAGCAGCCACAGATGCATGATTTTGAGGGCCATCTGGTAATTTTGGGGCGCACAGCTTGCGATTTTCAAACCTTCCATTTTTTGAGGAAACCCTAACCACTGGCCTGCTGAAAATCAAGTGCCTTTCGGGGGAGAAGGGGTGTCTCATTCTTGGCATCCAAAATCATCCATCCCTTTCCCAAAAACCTTAGCCATCATCACATGCACTTTGAGGGCCAATCTGCTGCCCACCGAAAGCAACAGACTTCTTTCCATGAACCTCCAAGCAGCCTTGTAGCTAAAGAGGTTCAGACCCAATGTCAGGAGAGGCACCACGGGGCTGAGTCCCAGACAAATGGATGATGCATGGTCCAATAACTGGAGTTTCTAACTCTTCAGAGAAGCAGAGACAAGAGCAGTGGAAGGGACAGAGTGTCTTCCTCTCTAGGTTGGGAATGTGCCATTTTGCCACCCCCAAGCAACGCACACAAATCAGACATTAGAAATGGTAACACACGTAAACCTATAGGGGAAGATTTTTACCTGCCTGGTCTTTCAATCGTGGATTTACAAGTAGCCATTCTTCTACAAAGGAATTTCACTCGCCAATTACCGAGAGTACGCAACTGGTATTCATCTACAAATTTGACACTGTTATCCGGGGCTTGAACAAAAGACATTAGCTGGATGTTGAATTAAAAAGCCAGTCTCCTCTGCCTTTAACAACTGCATTTTTACATCAAAATCTAAGAATGGGACACACACACCCCCAGCCCATTTAATTAGCCTCATTAGCACTGGTCCTACAATTGCCAGGGTTTTCTTTGCTATTATATATATATATATCTTGGTTTCTGTTATTTTCCACTCCAGCCCGTTGGATGAGGTGGATTTTACCCACAAAAGCTCATGATACTATATATATTTGTTAGTCACTAAGGTAACGTTTACACTGCGATGCTATTTCAGGATACCTGAGTATCCCGAAATAACTATCCCACGTCTTAATAGCAAGCCCGTTATTTCAGGCTCGCTAAGCTGACGTCCCTGTAAACCTCATTCCACGAGGAGTAAGGGACGTTTTGCAATAGAAGGTTCTTTTGAAATTTGGTGCTGTGTGGACAGTGCCAAATGACAAAATAAGCTATTTCAAAGTAAGATCTAAATCAGACCCATGATTTGCGTAGCTCAAATTGCGTAGCTTATTTCGAGTGCCGGTGCAGTGTAGATCCCCCTAAGGTACCACAGGACCCGTTGTTTTTAAAAGGAATGACTAACACGGCTCCCCCTCTGAGCCATCCCAAAAGAGTGAGTCAGGCACTAAACATCAGGAGATCGGTTTAAAAGAACAGGAGGGGTTTCTTAAAATAATACATTTGGATTTTTTTTTAATTTTCTTGCTGCTTTCAGAGATCTTTGGTCATGCTGGGGTCATCTTTTCCAGCTGCAGCACCCAACCACGGGATGGGGAAAGAGGGAGAAGGGGTTAGAAACTTTTTCTTTTCAAGAAAGCTGGCATTCTGGTGTAATCTCATTACTCCAAAGCCGGGCCTACATGACAGACCTATAGGCTCAGAAGTCACCGAAGTGGTGTCCTGACAGGTATTTTGCTCTGTCACATGTTAATATAATAATAATATAATTAATGGAGATTGCCTATCTCCTAGAACTGGAAAAGAAAGGTCAATGAGTCCAGTCCCCTGCCTTCACAGCAAGACCAAGTACCATCCCAGACAATTTTTTGCCCCAAATGACCTCTGCAAGGATTGAACTCACAACCCTGGGTTTAGCAAGCCAGTGCTCAGGCCACTGAGCTATCCATTCCACTACAACATTGGCAGCCCCATGTGCCACACTGGCTCTGTGCAGACCACCAACACTGCAGGTTTTGAAAGAACCCCCAAGGACCACAAAATGAGATAAGGTGTGAAGGCAGCCAGCCGGGTTTATTGCCAAATGAGAGACGGTCTCCAGCTCCCTGGATCAGATGTCTGAAGCTCTGTTACTACATGAGTGGCCCCTGACAATGGACCAATTCAGTCCAGGTGGGACTTTTCATCACCCCCTAAGACAGGCTAAGACAACCCACCTGTGGAAGGAAGAAGAACTGGGTCATGCAGCCGGCGCGGGAGATGGACTTGCAGGCACTGAGGAAGTTCTCCCACATCTGGAGGCCAGGGCTGGTAGCAGTGGTAGTGAAGGACCAGGAAGAAGAGGTTGCTGAGGAAGAAACATGTGGCCATGTGGAGATGAGGCTCCAGCTGAGAGACCACTTTGAGGGTGGTGTTCCCAAGCAGGGTCATGACATAGGAGATTAGGATGAACAAAAAGAGCAGCAGCTCCAATTGCAGCCAGCCAGATACCCTGAGCGAGAGGAATTCCCTCAAGGAGCTTTGGTTTCCCTCTTCCTCTGCCACTTCACTGTACTGTGCCTATAAGCACTGTACTGTCTTTAAATCGGCTTCCGTGCCTAATGACTGGAAGGTAGCCAACGTGACACCAATATTTAAAAAGGGCTCTCGAGGCGATCCTGGCAATTACAGACCAGTAAGTCTAACTTCAGTACCGGGCAAATTAGTCGAAACAATAGTAAAGAATAAAATTGTGAAGCATGTAGAAGAACATAATTTGTTGGACAAAAGTCAACATGGTTTCTGTAAAGGGAAATCCTGTCTTACTAATCTATTAGAGTTCTTGAAGGGGTTAACAAGCATGCGGATAAGGGGGATCCAGTAGATATAGTATACTTGGATTTTCAGAAAGCCTTTGACAAGGTCCCTCA